AAAAGTCGTTCAGTTGGTCGTGCTGAATTTCGAGGTGACCGCTCGACCACCAGAGATGGCGGTTTCCTGTGAGATGGGAGATTGAATAGTCACATGGGGGTCATAGCAGTCTCGCTGTGGAAGATCGGTCATCTTTGCAGTCATCTGGATGGTGGATCAGGTCATCGTTGTATCCATAAATAAGTGGACCGAAGTCCCTGCATTCCCCTGACCCCTATACAATCACTGATAACGACCAAAATTACGCCAAAATGTGATAGACTAGAATTCTGTTTGCTCAACTTCCTTGATATTTTGTAAATGCTCTCTTGATGGGTGTAGTTTGCGCATACCAGACAGCCTGCGAGACCAAATATTTTATGAGCTTGAAATCGATCAACTAGGTCACATTCGCGATAACTTTCGTAGACCTCGGATATCATCACAGAAAACTAAAACTCGGCTGACCCATGTGAAACCGAGTGCATTGCTGTGGAGTAAGGTTTTGGAATTGCACACCACCTCAAAGCCACCATGAGCAGTAGGGTCTGGAAAATTAAAGACCGGTTAAAGCCTGGAGTAGTGTATCGCATACCGTGCAAAAACTGTCATTGTAACTACACAGGTCTGACTGGACACATGCTCGCATCGCGTACACACGAACATAAGTCGGCTGTGCGACGAAACGACGCATTATCACAAGTGGTCGCCCACACCTACGAAACGCATCATGAGTTTAACTTCGCGGCCGCCAAAATAGTCGCCCACACCGGAAACAAAAGATGCCGAGACTTGATTGAAGCCTGGGCCTCTGATGAGAACTCAGTCAATCGATCTATCGATCTGGCGCCGGCGTATGGAGCCCTGCGCTATCACCTCCAGTCTTGCGCCGTCGGTCGATGATTGGCTAACACGTCCTAATAACTGTCGCTTGTTCCGTTGCTGCTACTATCTTTGACGATAGACTCTTGCACGAGTAAGAGGGCTCAGAACAATAAACAAAGCGTTTCGATTATTGACCCCTCTTCTTCTTTTTCACCTAAATAAAAAGACTGATGTTGAAGTAGCCATAACTAAAGCGAAAACTACGAATTTCGATAAGGCGCGTAATGCCTGTGATCCGACTTAACTGTTACCTGAAATGTAAGGGAGAACCGGACTGGTCAGCCCGTCTCCGCCACTGTCGCTAGGACGGCGTGCAGATCTTCCTGACAATTATCCTTCATATAGTCGCGCATTGTCACTGAGATTTGTTAATACTGATGAGGATGATGACAACGACGACGAAACCCATGCTGAGGCTGTTACTGATGACGATGGTGGTGATTGCCGATACAAGCGAAGATGCGAGTTCCAGGAACTAGTTGATCAGAAGTAGAAGCGATCGCTGGAACAATGGCTTTATTCGCCTGACGCTTCGGATTCTCTCTTGAATCCATCATCAGAGACAGTTCTGAAACTGTCTCTGATGATGGATTCAAGAGAGAATCCGAAACGTCAGGCGAATAAAGCCATTGTTCCAGCGATCGCTTCTTCTTCTTCTGACGTTGTCATGAGACTGTCTCCGATCCTCCGTTAGAGACAGGGCAATTGCTCCAAGAGGTCGCTCTTAGACGGAGAGGCAACTCGCTCATCTACTTCGAAAGAATGTACTTCCAGCGTCCAGCTGAAGTTGGCTGTCCTTGGTCAGAGAGACCCGCAGTGTATCACACTTAGCGCTACGATTTATAGGTGACCAACGCTATCCTTCGGATCTGGCAGTCTAGTTCAGGTTGCCAGAGTGAGCATAGAAACAGGCTCATCGTAGCACATCTTGGACGCTGTCAGTTTGTTCTTGTGCTGGACTTTGGAGGCGCGAGGGAATGAAAAGGAGTGTCGGATTTTCATATAACTTATCCATCGTGTCTATCAAATTTCTTAGTGCACACACACACTTGGTTTCCCAAGTACGGATGCTCCGTCGTCTGGCGTCTCAAGAGACTGCCGAATAGAAGAAGATACGATCGTTGGAACAAGGGGTTTATTGGCCTGACGTTTCGGATTCTCACTTGAAGCCATCATCAGAGACATTCGCAGATAAAGATGATGAAGGCACAAAGACTGCAGTATTTATAGTACAGTAGATGTGCTAACTCGTGAAATATCAACCAAAATTTCGCAATGCGTTCTCGTTTCGAAAAGATAAAATGAGTGGTATTGTAAAACTAATCACGATAAAGCATAAATCTAAAATGATCCAGTTACCCCAGGGTGTCGGCTTTCGAAAAAACTTATTTTGGGCTGCAAGCAAGATCTATACTCTGCAAAAAATGACTACTTAAGTAGCATGCAGTGTTCTCATTGATTTCCGATGAACTTGAAAATTAAATTATATTTCCTGTAAAACATGCATAGAAATAATCATTCTTTTACATATTCGGTAGAAAATTATGCCTTCTTCCAATTTCATAATTAAAAGTAGAGTATAATCCGGTGTTAAAAATCTTTTCAAATTCCCGAATAATTTTGAACCCGACCTGCTGTTACACTTGCATTCAGGGTTTAAAAACTACAAGCCGTATATTTTCCGTGGACGGAAAAGCATGCATTTCTCTACGGTGTTAAGAGGAGATTATATGAGGTTCATAAAATTAAGCAGTGGGTTTGAGCAATATTGTTAACTTTTCAAGCTACAGTCGTAAATGCAGATGCATGACGTTTCATGAACGACCATTTAACGGTATTAAAAAATCTTACAATTAGAAACTTTTTGAAAACCGAATTATACTCTTCTCTTGAGTAGGAAATTGGAAGAAGACGTGATTTTCTACCGAATATGTAAAAGAATGAATATTTCTATGCATGCTTTCCATGAAATATAGTTGAATTTTCAAGGGCATCGGAAATCAATGAGAAAATTGCGTGCTACTGAAGTAGTCATTTTTTGCAGAGTACAGATCTTGCATGCAGCCCAAAATAAGTTTTTTCGAAAGCAGACACCCTGGGGTAACTGGATCATTTTAGATTTATGCTGCATCATGATTATTTTTACAAAACTACTTAATTTATCTTTTCGAAACGGCAACGCATTTCGAAATTTTGGTTGACATTTCATGAGTTAGCACATCTACTGTAGGTATTTGCCATGGGGCCACATGGGTACTATAATTAACAGCTCTCGCGATCACCGCCGAGGGTTATGACTAAGACGTTGATGGCTCGTTGGTTTGGGTCCAGGTCGTTAGTAGCCACAATTTCCTTATCCGTGTTGGATGTTGGCGTGATGATGGCTCGGCAATTTGGCCCACTGTTACCGAAATTGTTGCTGCCCACGCCCACCCCGCTCCCCACGTGACTGATTCCTCTGCTCAGGGAATGTCTCAGCATCGAGCACTGTACCGGGAGGCCATTGTGCTTGTTGATGGATTGCGGGCCTGAGAACCATGATTCGAGCAGCTCGTGGCTCACCCGGTTGTCAGCTCTTGCAAGGATTTCGACCTCTTGAAATGTGAAAATGTGACCAGGTCCAGTAGAATGAACCATGCCCTGAGAGCTAACGTCTTTCCTCCTCACCGCTGCTGCGTGCTCAGACATCCGCGTACGGAGTAATCTCCCGGTATCTCCGACGTAATTGTTCTGTCCACAACTGCACCAGATCCAATAGACGACGTCAGGCGTTTCCTGCCGTGGCAGCGGGTCTTTCGGTCTCACGACTTGGCGCCTGATGGTTGCTTCCGACCTGTGTGCAGCCCCAACTCCAAGTGGAGTGAGAAGGCGGCTGAGGGCTTCCGAGACGGTCATCAAATACGGGAGAACTCGATTAAATTTAGGGCCGGATCGGTTTTGTTCTCTGGTCTCGTTTGCGTACTCACTGGTTGATACAGTTTCGCGGTGTGTATTTATTAGTTTGCAGTAATAACAGACTTGTCCAGCATCTGCCACACTCTCTCCTCCCTCATCCATCTGAGCCGGACAGCAACATGGAATCAGGAGGACCGGATGCGAGTTCGGGTTGAAAAGAGCTAACGAACCCGCCTACTCGTGCCACACACGATGCGGCTCTTATCCGATCGGAGTGGGGGTGGCATAGAGAAACCATGGAGCCCGACTCGTAATCTGCCAGTCAGCCTCTCCGTAGGCACACACACACACACACACGACAGCTCTACCACCACGTCCGACGATGTCCACCGTATGCTCCACGGCAGGGTGGGAGCAGGGGCGGTGACTTGCGCGTTAATTAGTTTATACTGAATTTCGACTTGCGCAGTACCTACCGCACTCTCTCATCCTTCCCCACCTGGACCCGTTGTTAGGACAGAGTAAGGAAGACCGGAGGCGGTGGAGGACGCAGGTGGGTGGCGCGGTCGAGCCCGCGCCTTGGCGTTCCACTCCACCCCCCCCCTGGCCCACACAACAAATGACCAGGTTTCTGATTCACAACAACAATAAAGCGACGGTGCGCGACGTACGCAGACAACGGGGTGTGCCTCCGCACCCCGGAATGTTGGCACTCGTTATGGTGCGCAACTCCGATAACGCCGGCCAGAGTCCAATATGACCCCCCTGTTTTGGTCCAGCGCATCTTCTACGTGGCCCGTTTGGGACACACACACACACAGGATTGACCGCGAGGACCGAGTTATCACGTCAGTTGGCAACCCTCCATGCCACGACGTCGTGGTAGTTTCAAAGTGTGCCACGCAGACATACTCGCACATCTATATGCGTAAGATGGAGAGGCCCTATGCCCCCCTCCCCGACTGACCTGGATGTCGCCAGACAAAACTTTTAAAGGAGTTGGAATACGCAACGCGTTCATGTATATGCCAAGATAATTCCCCTGATGCCCCATCCTGGGTTTTTGTAATCATATTCCAGCACTGATGATACAGGGAAAACTAAATACGAAATAAATGCAGCATCGGTTTGTTGGCTAGTCCTGTGAACGATCACTGTCAGAAACTCCCTGATTGGTGGTTGAGCACTACATAAATGCATGCAATAATCGTGCGTCTTAGAAGCTGGGTTTGAAAACAGCAATGAAGAACATGTTTGTGCTGTATTGCATCGGCCTAGTAATTCATGCGCAATGGTCGCTAGGCTGTAAAGGCGGAAAAGGTAAATTTTATTTATTCAAATGTAATATGGCGTACTATGCATGCATAAAGAGACGTAGCGTATTAACGCTATTTGATAGCATAATTAGGCATAGTTGTTGACAGCGTACACAAATTGAATTCAGACAGGTGGATGCAGTGGTTTCTGCACGTTCCGTGATATCCTGGCACGGTGCCTGTTCTATCTCTTGAAAATAAAACTGAAATTCTGTAACGTGTACTTGATTAGGGGTTGTAATACTGATTAATCGTGCCGCAAACGTAATAACTATTTCGGCCACGACAAGATGCTGGCCTACAAATAAGCCTTCTATGGTCACGGGCAACACCCGTACTCGGCAAAGCGTGACAAGCTAACTAGTTTGATTTTAAAATCGGTTTTCTATGTTCTGATAAATTCAAATGTTTTTTTACGAAAAGCAAGTATAAAATACCCCTTCTCGTACTTGCCAGGCAGCAAACCACGTATTTTTTAAATAATGTACTCGAGAGGAATTATCGTTTTGTTGTGAAGGTTTTGCTATTATAATATTTGAAGGTAGTGAAAGTGTCCTTTAAAATAGCTTATTATCCACGTTGACTCGACGCCTCGGTGGGATTCGAACCTTTGATAACAGGGGGAAGACTTAAGTATAGCCAACGCTCTAGCAATCTGTGCTAGGAGGTCCCACCGGGGATTTGTGAGTTTAATCAGATTTGGGTTAGGTTGCTCGCCCAACCTTCTTCAACGTCTGAAATCCAACGAATATCTATCCAACTCACTTAAGTAACAGCGTATTTTTTAGCAGATTTAAATATGTCGGTGGCTCCAGTGGGATGAATAGTTTCCTTGAGAAGAAAGCGGAGGACACGGTCGAATCCGCGAGGACCATGCTTACAGGAACATAAGTAGTATCAGCCGTTAGAGGGGCGAGTGCGTCTGCGCAAATATAAATTGGAAGCTGAAATGACGTTTGGACTGCCATTATATGTTCATAGGCACGCTCAGAACCTGAAGGAGGACTGGTCGGCAAATTGCGGGAGAAATTGGCGACAAAAGTTCATCATATTGATGAACCCCTTTGGGCGACGTTTTGATGAAAGAGGCAGGAATTGCCAAATGGGAGCGATCCAAGAGGGAAGTGGGCGGGGGGGGGGAAGGCCATGGAAGTCAACCGGACTGAGTGGCTGCCAGCAGAACGTAGGGTTCGGTCAGTCCGTTCGAGGCGGTCAATAAGCAGGGTTATGTACTGACGATGTTCCTCAGCATCCCGGATTAATCTTTGAGAAACAGTTTTGCTTTAGAGAGCTCCGGGAATGACGTGAAGGCGAGAAAGGTTAACAATCGGGAGATGGCACCCAAAAAAATCCGTTACCTAGAAATAATACCTTTAACAGTGGACTCAAACGCCTTCAGGCTAATATCAGCGGTGGCGGGCCTACTTTCACGCACTACTTGGACGTTCCCCGACGGCCTAACATGGGCAGGCCGAACGAACGTCGCAGGAGGTTACAGGGACGATGGTCGCTATTACCCAACCTTCCTCATCGTTACACACGTACACCTGAATATACGGCATATATTCGCATTATGGCAGTTTATTACATAACAAAAACACTTTTGAATAGGATACGTCTGCACAGCATGGGACAGCAACAGTTCCCAGGCATCTGTCAAAGACAGGGCATTGAGGCCAAACCAAAGACGATACTGTACTTCGTCTATGTGAGCCCACACAGCTCAACCACATACAGGGCTTCCCTCGTAGAGTTTCCTTTTCAGTCTACTCCAGTATGCCTCAATGGCATTGGTGTGTCGTCCGGTGGTAGAGTCCTTGAATTTCTTTGAGTGGTTAGCAGAGAAATGTAGATAACCTTCTGAAGGAAGACGATTATACGCCTTCCACTCGTCCGTTAGCACTATACTGCCTTTGGCGACCCCTTTTTTAATAAAGGAACGGAGAGCGGGCCAATATCGATCAATCACCTGTTCAAATAAGGCTTTCCGTCTGCTAGTATCATACATCCCGACCAGCCACCACCCATAAAACTCCTATTGCCACCTGTCCCGTAAGACAGTCTGCTTTGGTTAGGCAGATTTTTTGGGTGCCATCTCCCGATTGTTACCCGAGGAAGCAGGTGTCGATCAGTCATGGTGATATTGTTCAAAGCCCTGTAATCGCCACCAGTCTGCGACATGGAAAATGCGGTGGACATGTGTAGGGACTGCCAGCTCGTCAAATTACCCCTTACTCATTTTGATCCAACTGTGAATAAATCAAAGTCCTTGGCGGGGTTCGAACTCTCGACACCAAGTGGAAGGCTTGAGTACAGCCAACGCTCTAGCTACCTGTTCAACGAGGCCCCACCGAGAGCTGTGAATTATATCACACCTATTAATCTCTTATCCGTCTGCTAACCGGTATACTAAAGAATCGCAAAATTCTATAAGCGCTATATGGTACTTTCTAAGGAACCTATAGGAATTCCCGGTGTCTGTTAATACAACAGGTAGTTTTGACACCCTAAATACAAGCAAAATGGCAGGTCGGGTTCAAAATTATTCGGGAAGTGAGAGAACTTTGAAACCGAAAACTGCTATTAAAATGACGTTGGTTTATGCGGCACGATAGTTACTATGAGAAAACAACCTTAGTAATCTATTCTAATCGAAAACGTCTTTCAAGATTTCGGTAATATTTAATGGGACACGCCACCTACTCTACTCATATTCGCACTTATGCGTTCATTTCCTTTATATCAAGCGTGAAGTAACAGTTTGGACTGGGCGTTTACTCATGCGATTTATAATGCGTGTCAGCGCTCTTGACAGTAGCGGTCTTAAGTAGCATGACATTTTCCCATTGATTTCATACATTTCGTAGAAGCACGCATAAAAATATTGATTCTTATACTTATTTGGTAGAAAATTCTGACTTCTTCAAATTTTATACTTGAGGAAAGGGTAAAATTCGGTTTTTGGAAACTTTTCCAATTCCCAAATATTTTTGAACCCAACCTGCCGTTACAATTGCATTCAGAATTTTCAAAAAACAAGCTTTATGTTTTTAGCATACGAAAAACCATACACTTCTCTACGGTAGTAAAGGGAGACAGTATAGGGATTCACAAAATCTGTCAATTAACTAGAGGCATATTGTAAATGTTAAAAGCAACATTAGTAGATGCAGAGAGACGATGATTTACGAACGAGCATTTCACAATCTCAAAAATTTAAAAATTTGAAACCTTTTAATGACCAAATGATACCCTTTATTCAAGTATAAACTTTGAGAAGACGTTATTTTCTACCAGATGAGTAAAAGAGTGAACATTTTTATGCAGGCTTACTGATAAATATATTTGAATTTATGAGGGCATCGAAAATCAATGGGAAAATTTCATGCTACTTAAGCAGTCCTTGTTGCCGAGTGTAATTTTGCGAGCGGCCAGAAAGAAGTTCGTTCAAAAGCCGCATCCTGAATTAGCTGAATTTTTATGGGATTATGCTAGACGGTGGTTAGTATTGCAGTCCTACTTAATCAATCTTTTCGAAATTTCGGTTAACACTACATGAGTCAGCACACCTACTGTACTATCTCTGTAGTAATTTATTAGCAAGTGTGATTTTTAGGCCCCAAAAGCCGGCGTTCCGATTTCCGAATAATTGTGAACCCGACCTGCTGTCATACTTGCATTCAGGGTTTCCACACTACAAGCTGTATATTTTCCGCTTACAGAAAATCATATATTTCTCTACGGTATTAAGAGGAGACCATTTGAGGTTCATAAAATTTAGCAGTGTCTTTGAGCCATATTGTTGACTTTACAAGCCACATTGGTGAATACAGAGACATGACGTTTTATGGACGGCCATTTCACGATATTAAAACGTCTCACACTAAGAAACTTTTTGAAAACCGAATGTAATCCTTCCTTAGAGTATAAAATTGGAAGAAGACGTAATTTTTTTACCGGCTGATCAAAATGAAGAATGTTTTTGCGTATGTTTTCCATGAAATATATTTGAATTGTGATTAATTTCACAACCCTACTTAATCAATCTTTCCGAAACAAAAACACGTATGGGAAATTCGATTAACATTTAATGAGTTAGCTCACGTACTGTATATGTTCTAAGTCGCTCTTAATATTACTCGAGTAGGTCAAAAGGTAATCTTTTATTAATAAATGAATCGTTTCAAGCAAAATGTGCTCATTTGATTGTACCATCATTTCCAAGTCTACACTTTAGAAACCAAAACCCCTGAAGCGGTCGAATGCAGAGACGACTTTTTTGATAGCGCCATAAGGGCGTTTAATACGAGGCTAAGTTCAGCTGCGATATATCCCAAAGGTTACCCAGTTCATGTTCAGTTCACGAAATCGACACCTTCTGCCTGCTGTACCACCTCGACCCTTCATAACGTGGAGGAACACGACTGCTCAGACGTTTCGCTTTCGGTAGAATTTTTCGTAAAACACGTACGTGCCTTCATAAATTCCGGTATACTCTCTAATTTCAAGCACCCACTTCCGACCTAGCATTCGGTACGTGGATATGTGCTGCAATCGAGTACTTGACCATGTTTTCCTCTGATTTACAGCGAAAGAACATGTATGACTACAGTTTCGTGACGGAATCAATGGCAGCAGCAAGCGTACTGGCCAAATTTTGGGGCATCCTGAATCGTGACAGTTTGGAGAACAACTGCACAGTTGATTTCTTCGTGGGTGTGAAACTACCCGAGCCCGTAATCCAGAAAGTGAGGCTGTCTACTGGAGTCATCTTATCAAGCGAATTGGAAGACGTACTCGCTGAGAGTCTTTCTCTACTGAGCAAATGGATGCCCATATCCTGTTAACGTTTTCAGTAGAAAAAATCCCTGTTTTGAGGGAAAAAATATATGGTCTGTCCAAGTAATCAAATCCCCTACCGATCTCTCCTGCAGTGCAAACCGTTAGTCATTTGACCTGTCGTTGGTGTTAACTGGTGATTAGTTTATGTTTCCTATACGTCCACAATGGTGTAATCAAATAAATATGAACGTTAAGGTGATTGTCTGTTAGTTTGATTTCGCAGTCAAAGCTGGGTTCCATAAAAAGCATGATGTATCGTTTTGTCATTGGCTGCCTGAGACCATTGACAATTTGTGCCTGTAAACGGTTTTATTATCGACGGAGTTCCTATCGTAAGAAAAATAGCTCCAGGATTTTAGGTTTATATTAATGTAGGAATTTTTAGACGATAGGTCCAGACTCAGACAATTTTAAGGACTGAAAGCCTCTTTCGGTCTATCGTCTACCAGACCGTGACGGTTCCCACGAAAATTTTGCTCTGGAAGGAACTGTGGTTGTATGCCGGGCGGTTTTCCTTGATGTTCGGTAGACGCCGGTTCTCGACATTCCAGTTTCGCATTCTGAAATCGAAGCGCCTAGAAATCTTATCCCCTCATTCAACGTGTTGAATAGCATCTTCAGGTGCACACTTATACGCACGTATCGCAACCGACAGGACAACGAGCCCGTGGCTCAGTGGCTGGAGGCGTTGGACTTCTACCCAACAGGTCACAGGATCGAGCCCCTGCTGTTCCACACTTCGGAGTTAGGTAGGACTGGCTGCCGACGGCTAATAAGCCAGAAATGGCCATTCCGGTTTCCCCTATCTTTGTCGGCAAAATCATTCTGCCTGTATCATGCGCCGCTGAGTGGCTGCTGGTTGGGCTGGAGAGAGAGTCCGTAAGGCACAACGAGAACGACACGTGACCGTCCCTCTACCATTACACATTCCCGCACAGCGGCGCATGATATATAGGCAGAATAACATTACCGACAAAGACAAGGGAGACTGGAATGGCCATTTCTGGCTTATTAGCCGTCGTCAGCCAGCCGTACCCAAGCCCGAAGTGTGGAACACCCGAGCCTCGAACTCGCGACCTGTTGGTTTAGAAGTCAACGCCTCTACTCAGGTCGCGAGTTCGAGGCTCGGGTGTTCCACACTTCGGACTTGGGTATGGCTGGCTGCCGACGGCTAATAAGCCAGAAATTACCATTCCAGTTTCCCTTATCTTCGTCGGCAAAACCGCTCTGCCTATATCATGCACTGCTGAGCGGCTGTTGTTTGGGGCCCGTAAGGCACAACGGGATGCGTGAGTTCCGTAAGAACGATCGGTGAGCGCCCCCTACCATTGTACATTTCCGATCAAAACGGACAAGACAACGGGGCCGTGGCTTAGTGGTTAGAAGCGTTGGACTTATAACCAACAGGTCACGAAATCGAGCCCCAAATGTTCTACACCTCAGAGTTGGGTATGATTTGCTGATTACGGCTAATAAGTCAGAAGTAGGCTCTTCAATCGGTAATGTTATTTTGCCTAAAAACTTAACGATTAGCTCGAATGCGAGTTCGGAAATGCAAACTTAGAGTCCCCCATTACTTGTCGGTAACAGTAATTGATCATATGCTTCCCACCACGAGCAGAAACTTGTACCAAATGAATGGTCCAACTTTTTAAATGCTCCATGACTTAATGCGTCATCCACCAGCTGTCGAACTTGCAAAAGATCATTTGAAATCAATGGATGGACTCTTTTTGTCATGCTGACTTGACTTACCACTTTGCATATGATTAGGCACAACTGGCCCGTTGGGATGATAGAGAGTATTTCGGTGAGCGCCTTGCGCTAACTGCACAATGTTTACAATAATGTGAGATGATAATTTTTACTTGGTATTACTGAAAATGACAAATTTCGAAAAAACTTCACTTACGTCCTCCAAAATTTATTTCTACTATGCGATGGGATCCGAGTTAACCACTTGTTTTTTACGGTGAAAAACTTGTTCATCGTACGCTGGCCGGGTCGAGTGTGTTACGAGTAGGCAGGCTGTTTAATTTTGTCAACTAATGCCCCCGACCCGACCTCGGCCGTCTTGCCTCTGTCTTACCCCCTCCCGTGGGGAAGGAGCGAGTGCAGCAGACGCTGCGCAAGCCTGCCACAAATATCACCTAATTCACACGCTTGGTTCAAAATACGGTGGGCACACCTGCGCCAACTGATGCCTAGGGGAAGCACTAAAGAAAGGTGACCCAGTCCGCTTGTAACCATAATAAATGTGACTGAATACTTGCGGAACCAAACGACACTGAAGCGTTGTTTGGTCTGAGGTCTCTTTATCGACGTATAGTGACTCTTTTGTGTCCAGGTGGTTACCAAAGTCGGTTCACTGTGAAGTACCTTCTGATGGCAGCATGAGGCAACATATGCGTGCATGAGTTTTTTGGGCATCTTGAGGGCCCGACCGATTACCTAAATCCAGCAAACAGAGTTGCCATCGAATGGCGTTCGAAGTGCGTTTCCCGGTCGAGTTAGGAGACCTGCTCGTCCCATTGTGCCTTGGAGTTCAGTGAAGTGCCCGCGCAGGCAATCGTACATCGATTAGCAGTTTATGCAGCAGAAGACTATCGACAAAGCCTAGGGGGATCAGGAGGATCCTTTCCGACTTATCAGATAGGCGTGTGATCCTCGTTTGTTGTTGTTGAATTCTAGCCCGATCCCATTCTGTCCGTCCCCCCCCCCCCGGTTGAGGCGCTGACGATAACGTACTTTGTGCCAGAGGATACCTACCGCATATAATACATGGAATGCTGACTGAGATACTGACAGTTCGACCGTTGTTGCCGATGATGTCCGCTTATGCTCTACTGAAAGGTGAAGCAGACACGGTGACTTGCGAGGGGATTAGTTTAGA